GTAAGGGAGGCTGTAACATTAAAGAGATCATGGCGAAATCTGGAGCAAAGATCAGCTCGAGAGATGAGGACAGCTTCTTAATAAGGGGCGATACTGAGCAACGAGCACTTGCAAAGAGTCTTATTTTAGAAAAGGTGGTAAGTTTCTACTGATAAAAAGACAAAATCACTTTCATTGAATGAGAAGGCGCTAACACTGGGGTTAAAAATTTCGAGCCAAGTTTACCAAATTTTAAGAGCTTTATTTCCTTCAGGCTTATTTTTGCTGATCTTGTCCAAAACTGATTGAGATTCGTATTCCAAGTTAAATCAGTTTCGTTCATTATAATAGCAAGAAATACAGCGTAAGAGAAACGACGCACGTTCCCTTGGTGAACATGTGGAGATTCCTCAAGTTTACAAAGGCTTGGTAATGGGTAAAGGAGGCGATAATCTCCGTGACATCAGCACTCAAACTGGTGCAAAAGTCATAAGGAAAGACGGTGAAGTATATATAGCTGGTGGGACTGAGCAGCAACGACAACAGGCCAAACTGCACATTAGCACTATCATCGTAAGTTCATTCCTTCACAGAATATTAATTAAAAGCAAAAATATTCCTTTGTAAATCTCTTTTGAGAACTGAAAAGATGATTAGGGTCGATCTTGTGCTTTCGTGAACATTATCATTATCATGATGGGCGTTTCCATTTCCATTGCAATCGTTTTGATTATGGTCAGTGTCATGATGGGTATCGCTGTTCATCAAGGTGGGCTCAATAATGGGGATATGTTTCAAGTGCATTTTGTTGAAACACATCGCAGAGAAAAATGATGCGTGAAAAACACACCAGGAAAACAGGTTTTGGGAACAAATGAAAAAGACATAAGGGCGGGGGCACAATCACAGAGCACGAATGCTGCAAAAAAAATTGTAGTGGGGGAGGGGGAGTTTTAAAGGACAAGTTCCTAGGAATTGTCTCCTAGAAATTTGTCCTCCGAGACACGTCGCACAGAGTTCAAATTCTTGAACTTGATAAGAGAAAACTTTGTGAAGACAACCACGGTAGTCGTTTGCACGCTTGTGCCAATTTTTTTTTTTTTTTCACAATGAAATTAGCTTTCGGAAAGTCGACCTTCCGTAAAGGAATTGAGGGAATGAAAATTAGAAATGTAGAGTTCCCGAATCGGGAGGCGACGGTACAGTGACTCCCATGTTTTCGGAGAATCAGCCAACTGGTCAGTTCTTTCCTTTAGTCTCAACTGGAGTCTTCCTTCATCTTCATGCATCAAATTGATCAAAGCATTATTGTAGTCTTTCACTTCTGAAACTCTTGAAAATAATTAGTTGTTCACACAGGGCAGGTCTGCTTGAGTAAACACCTTTAAAACAGGCATTATATATTATTCGGTTTTTTGTTATGTTTTTCTTTTTTTTATTAATGTGCAAATACTTTGCATGCACGTAGAAATATTTCACCTCTAGGAGCAAGATGATCAAGGAACGTACCGCACATTCAAGTTCGACTGATAAAAGAACGCACAATATGGAGAATACTTGAGAAAATAAAAAGACGCCTGTTTTAGAAAATCACAAGGTGTCTGGTATAGCTTTGAACACTGCGAATAATGCTCTACTACTTTTAATTTGCTGATTGTAACACAGCTTATGCAATAATAAAATTCGTTGATTTTCAAGGCTGGAGCAAGACTAAGGGGAGTGGAAAACGAATTCAACAAAGTATGTCGTTTCATTGATGGCTGTAATCTGCCAAGTGATTGTAAGCTGAAGCTGGAGCAAGTTTCTGAGGGAGATCGTATGGTTCTTCCAGGACTGCAAAGTCAGTGGCGACTGAAACCTACTGAGGACTATGAACATCAGGTTTGTTCATAACAGTTAATATTAAAAGCGATGTAGTTTAGGAACGCGCTAAGACAGTTAGCTATGAATATATTATCAAAAAATTTTCCGTAATAAACTCAGATAGTGTTTCATATGGCCTAACAATTCCTTCTTCCTCCTTTCTTCTTTTAGCCCGCTTCTCGAAGGTTGTACGGCTTTCACTCTTTGGCCCTGCTCACGCTATCACAAACGGCTAATCATAAGGGGATTTTTGTTATGTGATAAATGAAACTTTTTATTCACCAGAGTCTAAGACTATCAAAAATATTTTTACGACCAACTTAGACTTTCATTTGCCCGTCGATGCCGCAGATTTTTTAACTGTACTCTGCAGATACACAAGTGCAGCACAAGAAAATAATTTTTCCAGGCTAAAACTACATGTACGTCTAGTTTCATTAACGATGAAAATGTTTCGGAATTATCGCATACCCTTTTTAGTGAAAAACTGGTTGTTAACGCATATTTAATGCATTTTGCAACGTCAAACAGAATTTGAAATTGAAGATTGATCTAATTTAGGAACCAAATAGTTCTACCGATGGTTATCACTCGCAAATTATGGATGCCGCATTAAAGGCACTACGTCAAATAAAGTATGAAACCGAACAGCAACCGAAGGCTGACATGTGGTGTCACTTGGGAAAGGCTATCATCCGGGGAGCCGATGAAGGTAATTTCACCCATAACCGTTCTACTTCTTCTGTTAGCTTATTGCAAAAACTCTTATTTTCAGGGACAGACGAGAAACTGTGAAATTCCAAAATAGTTTTCATCTGCGTAAACGACTTTAATACAAAAAGTTAGAAAAACTTGATTTACACTCGTTTTGTTCTTTGTTAAGGACGAGCTCTTGCTGATAAAGAACAGGAAAAGAACTTATACGACGATTGTTTGCAAATGAATTAAGGATTAATTAGATATAGTGCATCAGGCCTGACTTTTATCACTGAATCTTGTTATATGAAGAGGAGTTGACCATAAATATCCGATGCATCAGTAACAAAAAAAAGGGATGCGAACAAAAATGTATTCTTCCTATTTTTTTTTTCTGGTAGAGGAAGTGACTGAAGGGGAATGGAGTATTGATGAGGTTACAGCAAAGCTTCAATCTTCAGAAGCAGAAAACTATTGGAAAGTGGCCTTCAAAGAAGGTGTGAATCTCGATGAGAAAATCCTGGAGGGTAATTTGTGCGAAACGACGACTGAGGATTTCAAAGTGAGATATGATTTAACATATTCGACGCCATGTGGGCACCAAGTGCGATGCAAGGTACGGCGACATCATGGTTAGAAATGGTGATCCACACAATATAAAATAGATCAATACACCAGCTGATAAACCTAACAGATAGCAGCATAGCTTTATTAAAAATCCATTGCAACCACAAGGTTGGATTATGGACTGTACAAATCTTTAGTTAATACTAAATACAAAAAAGAATAAAAAACTAAATAAAAAGGGCTAAAAAATACTACATATGTACATTAAAACCCATGAACGGAAGAGCAAAAATACTATTGATATATATCATTATATATATTGTACATAGTGAAATTTAAGAAATAGCCGCATTATATATGTTAAAGCCATTAGGAAATAGCCGCGTTGTACATGATAAAACTATTCTTCAGTCTATTTTTTCTGCAAAAAGGTACGTTAAAAAGCGCGCTTTCTCCTTAAGGCTACGGTACTAAGATTACATGACAGCAAAAGGCCATGTAATTTGTGGCAGGTGTTGTCTTTGATCTCACTGAATAGGCGCTCCGTCAGCAATTGGCGCCGTTGGTAGAGGGTGGCAATATTGCACTTTTTAAGAGCTTCTTGGTAGCTTAAAACTGGGAGTTGGCAAAGCTTTGGGAAAAAAGACTCGGTTAAAAAACCTCCAAGAATGATATATAGAGCGATATACAATGATATCCAGTCCCCTACATCAAGATATATAGTTAAACAGCTCTTAAGTTTTTCTAACAAGCTAATTAACAGGAAAATAACGAATCTCACGCAAAAACAGATTCTTGCATTGCATTAAAATAAGTGTTTCTAAGGGGATCATATTCAACAAACGATCGTGTCTTGTATAATCTTTGATATATAGGTGTGGGTGGCAAAGGCGGATATAAATAAGAAGTTGGAGGATATTTCAATCCCTTTCAGCGACGTGAAGAATATTCTCGAGACAATTCACTTTGAGGACGAGGTGACACGGTCGAGATGCCAAGGATGGCTGGTTCTTCCATCTCGAAGATATTTACAAGCCGATATTTTGTTTCCCAGTTGTGAATTTGATTGCAGGTTAACCATTCGAGGGCGAACAGGTGGGTGTGAAACGCTTATAATTTGGTATCGCACTGACCTTTGAAATATTATTGATTTTATTTAATTGCTATTCTAACAACATACACTATCGAACTCTGTGCGAGTTTGATACCAGCAAAGGGAACTAGGAAACGAAGAATTCGATAAAAGATTTGATAATAAGAAAACTTGTCAAGAGGATTTGCGTTACAATCCTCCTCAGGTTTTCTTGAAACACCCCATTCCTCTCTGTGTTATATATTCGCGAGCGCTGCAAGTTTCTTATGGCCAACGTAAAAAGGGGGTAGATAAGATCTAAAGCAGGTTTGTTACGAGAATTAAAAAAATTGTCTGAATATTAGTCGTTTGGCTATTTTGTACCATCATGCTCCACGCTGTACTATGTAACGAGAAAATATGACACATCGTGAGGCTAGTCTTCTCATTGCTGTAATATACGATTAACATACTGCTGTAAGCTTGGAAAGAAAAGGTCATTGTTACTGAGTAATACGTCAGTTTGAAAATCTGAAACATACCGGCACAAACTCACGTCAACGGAACAAATTACAGATTCACTCCACCAGATGAAAAATAGGCTTAAATTGATTTAAATTTAAAGCGCTGGCGCACCATGTTAGGGATGTCCCACTTATTAAGATGTAAGAAAAGTATATACAAATATAAAGATAAAAGTTCCAATTGTCCTTGATAAAATTTAAAACGCTCCTTTTTAAGGCTGTAATACTGTTTGCTTCTCGAATATTACTAGGTGAACTCTTCCATTATTAATGATTCGATTGAAAAAGCTATATTTAAAACCATTAGTTCCACTAAAACTCGGGCAAGGTCCGGTGTGCCATTTTTCCTCAAGTTATAATTTATATTTATGTCCTTACAAAATAGGAGCTTGTTTTAAATATCTAAATTATAATGTCCACTAATCGAACAAAAATGTAACATTTCTCAATAATTCTGTAGATCGTGCGGTCAACGCAGACTATGCACCAGATGAAGAAACAAGACTCATCCTGTCAAAGTATCTCTCTGGACTCACCTTCGATGATGAAGATGATTTCGGACTCCGCCTTCCAGAAGAAACCATACCCGAGGGATTTCACTTGATCCATAAACGCTCCTCCAAACGAACTTTGTACACCGCCAATGAGGGATACGCGATCATTCTTTCCAAAGAAAGCTCGTGGCGAAGTGACATCCGAAACGAAGACTCCAGAGAATCGGTAGGGACAGTTCCATCGGGCCAAGCCGGTCAAAATGATGTGTTCGTCAATATTAATATTCTACAACATGGCCTCAAATTTTTTATGATTACTCGTGGACACTATACAAATAGGCGGGCTTACCTTGTTTAAAGTAGAGTAGGTACTGCATATCATGTAAACGTCACTCAACTTTTCTTTCTGCGTTTCTTTTGGATTTAACAACATTTTTTCTCGTGGAACTCCGGCTATGATTTGATCACCGAGTGTTGGTATTTGCGAAGGATTCTTCCTTCCGTCTAAGCTTCCACTTATCATGTCATAAAAAGTTATTCATGTACGTATTTTAAAACAGTTCTCCATATGCCACCAGCAAATGTTTTATTCTTATTTCAAAAGGCTATACTTAGAGTAAACACATGGTTTCAAATGTAATTTGGGATGGATGAGCGCGAACAAATGTTTTCAAAGTCTAGCATAATTGCACGAGCCTATGACGCCGTTTAGGGGTCGTGTTCGTTTGGCTCTTTATGAGTGCCTTTGTTTATCAACCATTCTCTGTTTTTCACTTTTTTGGCACGGAATAACCCTTTCTCTCCACTATATGTTATTATTTCTGCATCGGAATTCTCATCGACACGTTTTTTTGATGTACATTATAGATGAGGAAACGATATAACGAAAAACTCTGCGAGAGCCAAACCGAAGGAAACTGTGTATGATTTGCTGGAAGCATAGGACGAAAGCAGCCAAAAAAGCAATAGAAAAGCTTGAATTAGATAACGACTATTTTTCTACTCATAGAAAATTGTTTATTTACACGTCATTGTTTGTATTCGTTTGTAGACTGATCTTCATTTGCACTGTAAAGAGTGGGATGAGGCACTTTGCACCAAGGACTGGGAGCCAGATGCCATTGTTGCAAAACTTCCGGAGTTCTTGAAGTTTTTGAAACAAGTTCAAAGTTTTGTTGCACAAGAAATGGCAGAGTGAAATTTTCTTAAAGGACTATAGTTTTTGTATCACATTTTTGTGAAAGATTTTAAATGTTTCTGAAATTTTCGTGATATGTTGGAAACATCGTTCACAAATTTCGTTAATATCAAGTCCAGCCCTTCTCGGAAAAATTCAATTTTAAACCGTCAATTTCAAACTACTGGTAGTAAGTTTTTCAGTATGCAGGCATTCTTGATGGGCAACCCCAACTCTTCTGACCACTGATTAGATTTTTTTTAGTTCGAAAAGCTGACTCAGAATTTACACCTATTTATTCTGTTTTCAGCCCGGTACTTCCGACAACGCCTGTTTTGGTAATATCCAGGACGCTTGTCGTAATCTAAGGCTTAAACTAAGCAAATACCCAGATAATACGTTTGGGAACAACTTACAATCAGAAACGTTTTCTTCGTGGGATGTTGACTCTTCAGGGATAATTCAAAAGACTTCTTAATATCGTATTCAACGTATTCGAGGAGACCGCAACCTGTTGCCTAAAAGAGGTACAGTTCAAGGCCTTGTCAGTTTCAAGCGGGCAACCTTTTGCTCCGCCAAATATTCTTGACATCGACTGACATAAGAATTTTTGACGAGCAAAGTTAAGAGTTAGGTAGAAGTGGGTAGGACATCCAGATATTCAGGAAACAACTTTTTCTTGGTTACAACCGTTGACGCTGATAAAAATAAGGAGAAAACAAGGGACGGCAAAACTGTTCTTAAAATACCGAATAAAAATAAATTCTCGATACGTCAATCATGAGCTCTTTTACCTGCGGCTTGATTTCCGGTCGTTAACCATGTACATGTACTTAAGAAATTAAAATTACAGTGCGGTTGATGCTGTCGCTATCCAAGAGCTAAAATGCTAAGAAAATGTATGTGAACGATAGCTTAGAACTGTTTTACAAAAGGACAGAAAATTTCTAAATTATCGCAATTTTTCAAGTTTTCTTAGGGCTGGAAATCGTTGAATAACACCGTAGTTTATATGATAAACGTGTTTCCTGTCTACCATGGTTTGTTAAAAGGTTTCATACGAATTTAATTTGAGCATAGATATAGTATGGTGGAGAAATACCGATGAAGATGCATTTTTTAAAAAAGATGACAATGTGAATAAATTGCTGCTACTTCTATAAGTATTTATGAGATAAAAAGGTTATATGTTCATTATTATATGTTATAAGTTCGTGGCATGGAATTTTTTCTCCAAAGGATCAAAAATTTTTTGTGAGGGAAAATGCTTTCAAGCCTAAAGGCTAAAAATACTGCTTATTAGCATGACAACAGAAACGTTATTAATCGGAGTAGAATAGTAACGGAGAATAAAAGAATGCAAACAGAACATCCCCTGCCTAATGATCAGTAGCCCAATGCTAACCAGTAATTGGCTCATTTTTTTCCTTCTCTCTTTAGAGATGCAAGATGCAATTCCTTTTTTCCTTTAGAAATGTGTCTGACTCCTTCCTACGCATGCGCAGTCAATGCAACTAACGGTTTTCGATATTTTGCCTTTGTTCTTACGTTATTTAAATGATATCACCAAATAACGTCCACAACAAAGTACACTTCTTCCTTACACTTCGATAGAATCCCTCTCCTTCGGACAAAATCAGATTTTCCCTTGATTCCATCCCATTTTTCCAGTTATTTACTATCAGCTGACTCAAACTCGTTTACTCGTACCCTTGGAACGCAAGTGCACATTTACAGAACAACTGATTGAATAAACGAAAAGTAACATATGAAGGTGTTGTGTTAAAATGGTTTTTACTTTATAAGGTTTTTTATAATGAAAAACGGATACACAATGTTTGGTCAGTCTGATTATTGTATTATCCTGAACTTTAACAATCTAACCGTCATCAAATGGCCTTGCATGTCAACACACTCATAGAGTGATCTGGCCACGACAAAACTGTTGTATCAGAAACCACTATAGGAAGACTGACTCACATTTCCCTTATTGAAAAAGTTGCCATAGGGACTGCAAGAGTCATGTTCCGCTGTGCGTTTCCATCTCGCACAGCGAAAAAAATATCAGATTTCTTGGAAAACCTGCCTCCGTTCGTGAGACCAGTAACAAAAAAGCTTAGGTAAGATTGACTTATCCAATCCCTAGACCAGGTGCCTCCTTCTCAGTCCCATTTTTTCTGTGACCGTATCGAAAGATAATTGCTGCACTTAAAACATTAGATGTTTGAATTTTGTTGGTTTTCGACCGCGGCTATTGACTGGAAATCAACCAAAGGAAACAACAATCTAGCATTAATGAAACCTCAATACCCAAAAAATGCAAAAAATTTCATTAGTAACTCATTGTCATGGAAGTGCACTTTCATTGTTCTTTCAAAATGAGACAAATTTAAACTGAGCACAAACAAACAAAACAGATCTCCATCGTCAGAATTAAAGCCTTACTATATTTTTCTGTTTTTTGTTTGTTTGTTTGTTTGTTTTTATTGTTTTTTTTAAGCTGACTTCATGAAGAATCTGAAAGAGGAAAAAAAAGAAAATTGGTCTCTATGATTAGAAATTAAAAAAAAAAACAATAAAACAGGATTCCGTTCCGAAGAGCAGGTGATTTAAGAACCGTTTTCTATGTACGCACATTGTTTGCTTGACTGTAATACGCAAACACAACATACATTGTAATTTGGCAGACAACTGATAACATGGCAAGGGAGAAGAAAAAGATTGCATTGGAATTTTAAGATTATGGATTTCAGCTTCGATTTCAGTTGTGATTCATTCAATAATATAGAGGAGATTGTAGTTTATCTTTCCCTTTTTTCACAATAAAAATTTCCCTCAACAGTACCCCTGTTAACACATGATGTAAGAAGAATCAGCTCCGAAACAAAAACTTAGACTGATCAAATATTCAGTAATCTGCGAGTTAAAGTTCTAAAATATACCATGTGCGTTTTGGAGATGGTATTACCTTTAGGCATTTCACAAATGTAAGCCCTTTTTTGATTGTTTGAAAGATCATTAAACAGGCCTTGCGTTTTTGCTGGGAAATCCCTTGACATCACCACTTTATCTCCATCACTAGATGGAGCGCCAGCGGTCGTCTGCCATTTTTTAAAGCTCAGCTTGCTTCCACTCACCAACTTCCAATCCCCGTTAAAACTTTATGCAGGCCTATATGCCTTCGTTAGGCTTCCCGATGCAACGCTTTTGAATTTCGTTGTTGAGGAAGCTCCATTCTGCTTCATTTTCTATAGAGACGAGGTCGCCACCCTTCTTTTGGCAAGTTTTTCGGTTGTCGGACCATGTCCCGCCTGATTTCGCATCGAAAATAAAGTAACAGTAACTTTTGAAACATATTTTATGTTCTATGGACAGAAGATATTCAAATCTGATTTGAAAATAATTTTGAAATTTGTAGAAATGTCATTGTATCAACACTTGCCCCCTTACTCAGGGAGCTGCACACCCTTCCGTGCGCCTAAGTTCAGATTTGCAGGGGGTGTTTCCGCGGTGGCGAGACTCTACATTCAGTTTTGATGAGTCACCGGGCAAAAATATAGTAAATTAACATGTTAAAAATAACTAAAACTGTCGGAAGTTGGAATTTTAATTCTTTTTAAAGGCATCTCTAACTAGGAATCGAATTTGCGCTGACCACGGCAACACAAGATTAAAATTGAAACGAGTCTAAAGAGTTATGGCCGCAGGAAAAATCTTTGAAACTGTTAATTTGCTCCCGCCTTAAACAACGCGACCGCTGACGAACACAAGAATTGAAAGGTTTAAACTATAAATAATTTTGCCCCTTTTGTTACAGTTTGAAATCGTGGCAACCTGTGATGCCGTGTTCAGCCACAAAAGGGAATATAGAGCGAATACTAATCAATCTCAGGAAAACCTATCATTCATACTTTATTTTCTTAGATCAGTAAGTAGAAAAAGGAACTTAAGAAAAAACTGGATAGGATAATTCATACAAACCCACCGTAATAATAGTGTATAATGCACTTACAGTTCCTAAAAAACAAATCGTGCGGGAGTTTCTTATGTACATTGAAAAAGGGCAGCACGAAATGTCACAAGATAGTCTACATGAGGCCCTCGTGAAAAAACAATAAGAAAACATCCAAAAAGAGTAGAAAGTGACCCGTAAATTACAAAATGTTCTACACATATAAATGACTGCAATGGATACAAAAACAACCAGGCGCCTTGTGAGTTCGTTAATGAATGAGCTCATGGAAAAACAGTCCTTTTATTTCATTAGGGAAAATTGTTCCAAATTCTAGCCGTTCTAAAAGCAGAGGAACGCTGTCCATATGAGTGTTTTACTCGAGGTAGTACTCCCTATTTTACAAAAGTGCCGAGGACAAAACCTGACGCAAACATGGATATTTCTCGGAGTTTCCGGGGTGTTAGTACTCTCCAGCTGCTGGGCCTAGTTGTTCGAAGGCCGTTTGTCTTGGAATTTTAATGTGTTTCTTTATTCATTTGTTCAAAAGCCTTTTTAGGATAATTTTCTCTATTCTTTTTAGAGCATCCACGCGTCCAATCGAGGAAAAAAATAATTTTACTGAATTTTCTGCCAAAGCTTTCAGCTCTAGGATCAGATTATATACTTACCCTGGGTTATCTTATCCCGGCTTTGAACAACCCAGCCAAGAGGGAAGATGAACCAGTCAAGTATGTTATTATCCAACAGCACAAAGTAGAGTACAAATAACACGCGAATAGATTTCAAATATCCCGCAATAGTGTATAGTTGGTTATTTGGAACTGTGAAAAAACCTGTTTAACCTGTCGGCTGCGCGCTACGCTTCTCTATCCGCTTTTCTTTTCCCGCCTTATGAGATATGAGTAGAAACGCTCGGCAGAAAAAAAGCAGTTAGATGATAAATAACATGTTAGACCTTTTGTTGTGTAGTATGGCTAATTACCAAATGGACGTGAGTGTTCTACCGAAAACTAAAACACTCGTAGAATTAATACGACTAATACATCCGGAAGCCGAGTGGCGTATTTTTCATATGCGACGAGAGCGCAGATATTGTATATATATATTGTATATATAAAGCAGCGACGTCACAACTCCCGCCTTTTCAAACTTTACTGAATGAACCTAGTTCGTTTGTTGTTGGAATACTACACGGCAGCAAGAGTTTTTTTTTGTGGTAAGCGATAAAGATGTAAATGTGTTTTCCTGAACAGCTAGAGAACGAGAGCGCCGAAAAGAAATTTCTCGAAACTTGCGACGAGACAAAGGTAAATTTTTGTTTTTTTTTTCTATTGATACCCAGAAATGGAATTTAAGCCCCCACCATATATATATCAATGGCCCATACAAAAAAAAGAATAATACACTTTAGCTCGAAGACATGAATTTTCTGTTCTCTAAGCACGAATAACATCTGAGATGTTGTTCTCGCTACTCGAACGTAAAATTCGTATCCTCTCGCCACCGTGTGATGACCTCTACGTATTTTTAACGCGTTGTTTTTATTTTTACTCGCTCTAAGAGCCAGTTAAAATACGGCACAACTCAGCGATACTGCACGTCAAAACGTCAAATAAGATAATGTACCGGCGCAGCTGGAGATACTGCTGGAAGGAAATACAGTTGGTCATTCAGCCGTGTCGTGGGCTACACTCTAAGTTTGGTTTTAGACAGTGACCGGGGCATAGAACACCAATTTTTTAGAATTTCAAACTTTCCGGTTGCTTCTTTTAGCCGACCAATGTGGAAAATTTCCTATCATATCGAAAGATAATCGCTGCAATTAAGATTTTAGACCATTGACTCTTGCTGGCTTTCGACCGAAGCTATCGATTTGAGACTCAACCAAAGAAAACTCTAACTTTGACTAGGAGCTTTTGTAACCTTCAAAAACCATCAACCATTAATAAGACCTCATACAGATCTAACCAAATTAAATTCCGAAAAGATATGGTTACTCATTTGCCTTACAATTCCATTTTTATTGTTCTTTCGAAAATGAGACAAATTTGAAGTAAGTAGAAAGAATCAAAACATATTTCCATCATACTCTGTGCTATCATTTCTTTGCCGACTTCATTAGGAATCTGATGAGGAAAGAAAAGGCAATATTAATTGGTCTCTTTACAATGAGAAATTAAATCATAAAAAATTAAGATTCCGTCTCGCTGAACAGGTGACTGAAGAGCCATTTGATTTATACACAAATTGTTGATCGTACTAAACAACCACTATGGAAGGAATTCTTGCACATATATAATGACTTTGGGAAGCAAAAAAAAAAGAACAAATTGCATAAGAGTTATCAGGATGTGAATTTAGGTTTCATTTTTAACTATACTACATTCAATAGCAGAGAAGATTGTGACCTATCTTTTCCATTTGTACAATTGAAGTTTTGACCGATTCACAAGTTGGATACTATGATGCTAAAGTTTCTTTCTCGTAGGTTACTTTTAAACAGCTAATAAGGCTTGATCCCTTTGGCAGAGACCAAAGTTCATTGCTGTGTCACTTAGATTTCCTTACCTTTGGGTAGTTCACAGATGTAAGCTCTTTTGATCCAATTTGGAAGATCATTAAACAGCCCTTTTTTTGTCGGTGGGTAATCCTTTGACATTACCGCTTTATTTCCATCACCAGAAGGCTCGCCATGGGTTGTTTGCCACTTGTCTATGGTCAGGGGGCTATTATTCACCCACTTCCAGACTTCGCCCACTTTATTCAGGCCAATGTGCCATTCGTTAGGTTGCCCAATGCAACGCTTTTGAATTTCATCATTGAGGAAGCTCCATTCTGCTTCGGTCTCGATGGAAACAAGGTCACCACCCTTTCGTTTGCAGGTTTCTCGGTTGTCGGTCCATGTTGCGGGTGATTCCGCATCAGAGATAAGGTAACAAGAATTTTGGAAGCAAGGATTGGTTCCCACCGCTATAAATGGAAAATATTTGAAAAAATAAACATCGAATTGGAATGGATGGGTTGTTTACATCACATAAAAGGCACAACAGGAAACAGATATTAAACTCATTGTTCACATCGTGTAGTTGCATTTTTAGTGTACAATTAACACACTTAACTCCACTGACCCCTCAATAGAACAAAACAATAGTCAATTTATTAAGTGAATCAAAATGGGAAGGAAATGGTGCGTTACTGAAAGCTTCTTTCTTAGCCAAACGGTGAGCGTTTAAACAAGTTGATTGCGGAAACGATTTACTGAAGTAAACGAGAAAATATTGTCATAATTATTAAAATCGTAAGGTCCTTGAAAATCAGTGATTTTATTCCAACTCGGTAGATTCAAAGTGTGAAATGTCTCCGAGTATCAATTCTTATAAGCAAGGACCAATAGGCAAGAATCACATTGAATTGTCCGGGGTACTGGATTTTGGTTGATGAATCAGCAAAATAAGTAATCTGATGGTAAATCAATTTTGATTCAATGTAAGCATGCACAACGAACGTCACATCACTTTTAGTTATCCGGAATCAATTATAACTTGATTTTTTTTCTTCATGGATGCCCTGGAATAGCTTAACAATGTTTAGTTTTATTTAACACTTTGAATGTTTTAGTATGAATTTGAGCACCAGGGCTTAGTTATACCTTATATATATAATTACTGCTCAGCGAGAGGAAGCGAAGTACAAATCAGAAAAGATCGTAAAGTTTCTTGCGACTACAATATTCTTTTTTCTAGTCATTGTCTGCTTACCATTAGCAATGCCTTGAAAGCAAAGAAGTACCATTCCCAAGTTAACCGTGAAGAAAACGTTCGTCATGTCTTCTATCAGATTTTGTGCTGTAAAAAGTCTCTTGGAAATGTTTCTCCTTCTAACAACGTATATGTATGTGGTCTTCAAAGCTTATGTTGTAGACTTGAAAATATCCCTCTGCGTCTAACGATATATGCATGTATCCACACATGCATAATTTAACTAACTTTTAGTTCTTAAAATTAAGCGTGGGGTCTGATGAAAGGGTTCACTAGACCAACCTGCCGCAAAGAACCTAGAAATCATATTCAGGGCATAGATATGCATAATCAACTTAGTCAGCTGTGCTAAACTGTTGTGCCGTAAAAAATACAGACCAGTTGAGGATTTTAAGCCTCGAATCCCACATTGTCCCTAAAGACAATTTCACATTTGAGTAGATGGTGCGAGATAAAAAAGTTAAAATAATTTGGTTGATGTATTTTTTATCGGCCATCCAAACCGACCGGGCACAATTTGAGTCAAACTAAAACCCAACTTGCTGAAAACTAACCCCACATCCAAAAGAGATCCAGTAATCCCAACTTGCATTTTTTTGCTCTTAATTTGCGATAGCATTTATTTCTGCGGACACTAACATAGTGCCCCTACTTATGGTATCCATTAAAAAAAGGATCATTTCTGATATTCTGCTCTGTCGAACGTTTTGACTGGTAAAACGTAACTCAGCCACGTTCAATTTTTTTAATCAAGTCCGAGTGAACGTCAATATATTTACATGTCCTCTTCATTCTCAGCGGTTTCATAAGATGCAAACGGTAGCACAGAATGCTTGGTCAGTTTTTTACTTTGCTCTCCACATCCTAAGTGTGTTTAGAAGCAGCTAGCTTGTGCCATGCTTTCAGTTGGACGAGAACCACCAGCCGCTCGGAACAGGTTGAAATGGCATCACATTTAACTTACTATCATCTGTTGCATTGATAAATACTTAGAAAATGGAAAAAGAGCACCGTGTTGTTGACCTTTGCTTGAATTCTCTACATCAAACACAGAATATGATATTTGACAATTAATCGACTGACCATTTGGTGAAATCTTTTAAGAGCTCCACTCTCTAATGTTTCGAAGGGAAATGTATGTAGGGGATTGTCAGTAAGAGCTAAGCTGAAAAAAGAGTTCTCGTGAAATTAATACTGTCTAAACTTTTTCTATGTAGTAAAAATCATATTTTGAACAGTTTCAATTAACTATTGAAACTTAATAACTGGTATAACAGAAACTGAAATTAATGTAGTGCTAGAGGACTTTCTAAGGACTCGAGCCTCTTATCGATAGATATCTGACAAGGTAATAAAACGGTGCTTGAAATGATACTAGTTAGCTAAGAAATTATAGGATACTCTGCTGAAGTCCCCGAAAATCCCAGTTCAACAGTGTAATTTCACCATACTTTTAGATATATCTTTAAGTGGGATACTTATCTTCACTAAAAATATAAGGCATGTAGATACCTACATGCCTTATATTTACCTCATGGGATAGTCATGTGGGACTCTTCGATAATGAAGAACAAAACTAATGGCAAGAAGAAATTAAGAAGAATGCTTATATTGGTTAAGCCAGAGTCTTTTTGCTGACTGATACTAGTGATACTAATACAATACTAACGAACTACTCAGACTCAGGCCAACTTTGCGATCGAATTGCATCACGATAAGTCCAAGGCCAGAAGGATCATAACGAGTGTAACTAGCGTTTTTATCGTGTTGTTCATCAAAAAGAAGGCGGTGGAGCTATACATTTCTGTAGCTCTTGCTGCGTCACTGCTCAAACTCTAATCAAAAAGCTTGTCAATGAACAATAATGGGAAAAACTTCGCCTGTTACGAGGGAATCCCACGCCATATTTTAAGCGAAAAACTGATATGCCCCCTGAACAATAACGTAATTCATGGGATATTTCTGCCCTGATCCTCGCTTGTTAACCGACTGGCTCATAAGTTAGAACATTTCAACGTCAACCTCACATTTTACTTGAGGTCTACATTAGAATTGAGCGACTTCTTTTGGGGACTATATGTTGCTGCCGTGAGAAAAAACATTAAATAGTGCATCTACAAGCTTTTAGACATCGGAAGACCTCATAGATAATAAGTCATTTTATGGCATGTATCTTTGCTCTGCGAATAAATCTCAAACCCACGCATTCATTTCTCAGAGTACTCGAACGCCCACTTTAGAATCTAACTTAACTATAAATAAGGAGTTAGCTTCTTCGTCCGGTACTCATATCCTAATTTTAACGGGATCAAGAAGAAGTACTTCAAATCACGTAAATAGTCGAGCACACAATGTGGCGTTGGATCGTTTCGTTGATGTTTATCATTGTCTTTGTTCAGGGCACTGCACTAGGTTAAAGATTTTGTTACCCTGTTTTACTTATATTTTCCTATTTTTGAATAGGTTGCTCTCCGGAATAGGTTGATCTGTTGGTCTCCCCGACTCTTAACAAATGATCTTATTTGTGTTGTGTGTTATAATTTCAAACATTGCTGGAAAAGCTAAAAAAAAAACCTGGCCAAGCGCCCGGTCGCGTGAGAAAAGCAAAGCTTTTGTCTTCCCAAAGCGTGTTATCATTGATATCATTCCTTATTCGACAGGAAAGAAACCTAAAGGACGCAAAAACAAAAATGACAACCCTGAAGGTAAGGTAGATCTAGATTCACAGATGTGTTCATGTGATTCAACTGCTTTCATTAATTCTTGAATCATTTGTTTCGTGCAGACAGCCTTAACGTCGTATTGGAAGTGTTTTCTGGCGTACGTGACCCAAGTTGGACGATCCAACAAGGGAACTCAAATTACCAAGAAATCATAGCCTCCTTAAACAGTGCCACCTTGTACGAACCAGATGAGGCGCCTCCAAAACTCGGATACCAAGGATTTGTGGTACAAGAGGTGAAACAAGGACAGAAGCAATCGCAAAAGCTGGTGGTTGGTTCTGAAACAGAGAGCTTACAACTGATGTTACTTCGCAGCAGCCCAGAGGGTAAAATATCGTCCAATGTGAGAAACATCGTGGAGATGGAAATCCGAAATGGAAACGTGTCTGCGATGAGTAGGAGAAGAAAACGATATGCTCCATGGTACGACCCGAGTCATTGGAACGGACCAGCGTATGTGCGGAGAAACAACTGCTATAACTACGCAAGCACGATCCGGAACAACACTTTTGCACAGCCTGGCTTTGGAGCGGGACAGCCATACCCTTTTCTATTTACCGCCGAAGACATGAAACGAGCTACAGAAGCTGATGGATGTGTTTCCCTGGTAGCAAAAAAACACATGTGCGCCCCAAAGGGACCAGAACATCTGATTGCACTGTTTGTCTACATTGGTAAGTAAAGGTGCATCGTTGGATTACCAAATTTGGCAATTGTATCGAACTCTCAATAATTAAATCATGTGCAGCATTTATTTTTTGGTTGAAAGCTCATGCTCTTATAAAGGTAGGCAACCTACCATATTAATACATTACTATTTGTACCATTCTACTTTTCCTATTTTATTCTAGAATTCAACTGAAATCGAAAATCACTTTCGTAATTACCTGGTGTACAAGTACTCTAATCTGTATCCCACAAGAACAAAAACATTTGCAACAAGAAACAAGGAGTGTATGGGTTTCGAACATCACACTTTTTTTAAACAGAGATCACAAACTATATCTATGTATCGTTCGCCTTTATATCGTACTTATACCACGTTTATAAGTTATTTAAAAAATACCAGCTCAGTGTTCTTCTCTCTCTTTCCACAGGCGATCCAAATGATTATTTTGATCGTGATTTTCACTTTTACCGATTGGACAATAATGGATACTGGTCTCACAAAGCTGGACAAACTCCTGCTACAAATGTGGATGGAGCAGGAAACCGTATTCGTGACCCAAGAAAAGCTGTAAATGGCTACTTCGATTACAAATTTGTCTCCTTTATGACCATTAATAGAAACAATGTAACCATACAGGGATACTGAATAATATCTGGCAGAATAATTGTCTCGTTACCCGTTGTCCTTTGTAAGTTGCAAAGTATGCTTTCAAGTGATGTTACAACCTGGCTTGCCCAGCTGATAATAAATTGATCACATTTCCAAAAACGATTTACATTTTTTCGTTGTTCTTTCATAACGAAACCTTATTTCAGGGGCCCAAATTAATCATACAGCACGTACAAGAGAAATCAGTCCCTTCCTACAGCATCACGGACTTTCGAATTGGAAATGTCCTAAATGTTGTAAACTAAAGGGAACGCGTACGTAAAGGGGCGTACTTACCGTGGGAATGTACCGCTTTTGGTCGTTTAAAACTTTGGTTTGAATGTTGCTCACGCCGTCGTCTAAGAAATATTTCCTTTAGTTTAGACTATGCAACTTTGCGCTTTCCTAAGATATCTTGAGTTACAGTGCTTATATTTTAAACAAGGAGAGACATTGAACAGACACAAAAAAGCAGCCAATACAAAATAATCGACCCGGAAATTTGAAGTAACTGGAACCTCGCATACATAAAAAAAATTACGATTTACGAAGTTAATGAACAAATTATGATTTACACTATTAGACCTAAGACATTCTTATAAGACTATTGATCCCGCTTTCTCTTGGGTATTTTACAAACTATAGCCTTTTACTTTATTTATTTTCGCCTTCTTGGTCGTCAAAATTTTAGCTATATTTTGATGGAAACTCCTGCTTCAATTTTCGTAGGCTCCATTACCAGGAGATGATTTAATACCGCTGTAAAATAAATTGTCAGGCAACTGCTGTTCTGTCTAAAAATTCCACAAGTTGTCCACAGGTTGATAATAGAAAAAAAGGCAAATGAAACATTAAAACTGTAAAAGGAAAATACCACATGGGCCGAAAAAGATACTAGATTGGAAAAAAAAATATAAAAGATGAAATATTCGCCAAGCTCGAAAAAAAACAAAACTAGCATTATTGGGCCCCTTATCCAGTTTGTTAGTAATTCCACGTCCGCCGACTCCAAGTTCCCCTTCGGCGCGAAGTAAAGCAAGATTGAGAATAACCCCTTCAGTTCAGACCCCCTTAAAGATTGTTATCAAATTTACTCGTAGAGATGCGAGAAATGAATTTACGCTAACAGATGAATACTCATTAAAATAAATTGCGGCCAAACACGAAGATTGACGCATTTTACGCAGTTCATAGAGTTGTACAATTAATTAAAGGAAGAGCTGCAAAGAGTTTTTTTCCATGGTGAGACTCCTCATTGCACCTGTTCTGTCGCACTTTGTAATACTTGTCACAATTTTAACAACACTAGGAATGAATTTAAAATGCATTTGAAAGTTTTCGGCTAAGAGGCCGAAGTGTCTCAGATGATGGCCTTCCCAGAGGAGTGAGTAAATCATAACCATTATAATTTCCGAAAAAGAAAATACATTTGAGACAAACATCTCTAGTGGGGACAATGTCTGAAGCAAAAAATCTGGAAATTTCCCAGTTTTTTTTCTTTTTTCTTTTTTTTTTTTTTTTTTTTTTTTTTTTTTTTTCAGGGTAAGTGGTTGTTGCTATGGTTATTGTGATCAATTCTGTGATTGGTGGATTTAGCTGAGTGAACTTAGTATGATTGGTTGTAATCTGTCCGATTACAGGTGTCCGATTACAGCCAACGGTCCGACTATACTGTCCGATTACAACTATACAGAGTGATAAGTGGAATATAAAGCAGCTGATGCACCAATCACATTTGAGGAGATTGTAATGGTTATGATTAAAGGTGCAATTGAAGGGTAAACTATTTGAATTAATTGAATTCAACCAAAAACAGGAAGAGAACGCGAACACCGTCCATGACAATGAAGTTCTGTAAGAAAAGTTCAAGGCAACAAACAAAATATGCGAGCGGTTTGATGACTGAGATTGATTTGAACAGTTTTCGTTCAAGGATTAATTTATCTGAAAGCCACACTCAACTCTTAGTTTTTTGGGTTTTAACGATAGGGAGAAAAAGTTTTCGGTTAAGAGGGGATTCATTTTCAGTAAAATTTTTTATGATTACGGCCTTTAAAATACTGTTACCATATGTCTGTATTGACATCTCAATTTTTCCAGTTATTATTGAGGAGAGATGCTTTTTTTCAGCTTTCACTTGTAGTGAGCCGAGTCTTTTATCACTTTTAATTCGTCGTGATAGCTGTGTTTTAAATAAGTGCAACTAAAGGTATGAAATCGACATTTGATGTCACACGGAACCGGTTCACTTCCTTATCCATTCATTCATGCATGTTATTCCTGATTTTTTAACGGGATCATTTGCTGTCTTCCGTTTGGATAATTTGCAGTTTTGTTTGAGGATTATTTGCTGCCCTGAGCTGCACTGTACTGATATTTTTCCTTTTTTTCAAAACTTAATCTTGCGAAGCCTTTAATCTTTTTTTATTTCATATGTTACCCGCAAAAGCACAAAATTTTATCATTTGCCAATTTGTTAAGATATTCATCAACTAATCGATATTCAGATGCCTATTTCTAGACTAAATTATTGTAAAGAATATGTTTGGTTTTGTTATGGTTATTTGATGATTATCTTTAATGCGGTCTGATTTTCAAAAGTACTCAAAAGTGCGCCCCATTTCAAGGGAGCAAAAAACACTAGTATTCAAGTCACAAACACTCCAAACTCCGCATTTCATCATTCGTTGGTGATCCTGAAAAATTCATCCAACTTTAAAAAAACTTCCCTACTATAGATCTCTTTGCAAACGTTGTGAGGAAAATAAAATTATGGCAATTTACCTTCAATCGCTGTAACTGATTTACAATTTCCGCTAACTATAATTATAAAGTTATTAGTTTAAATGACAAGGTGAACGACTTTTCTTTTATAAACAAAGAGGGATGGTGGGAAAACGCGAGAGATGTTTGTGACCCACGAGCCTGAGGCGTGTAGTTGACAGACTCTTCCAGGGTGGAAGATATGAATCCGTAGAAAAGCCAAAGACGTTGGTCCCTAGGACGGTAGACGTGTATCCTGAGGTAGCAAGGACTCACCTGCCTCGGGAAAATTTAGACGTGCTACTTGTGTTAGGCTTGATGCTATTTATAACAAAACAACTAGAGTAACAGGGTACACACTCTCCCTTATATATCTTTAATTAAGTCGAAGTCGACACTTCGCACCACATCCTAGTTTACACTACGATGGCTAATACCTAATACAATTCCACAACGTGTCTTTCGGGGCCACTACAAACAAATTGTAAATAAACATTATAAATAGACATAGAGCCAGTTATTCATGGCTAAATACAAAGTGCAACCTAGGAGTTGAACTCGGGGCAACCAAGAACAAAATTAATTCCGTGAGTAGTAGAGTAGAGGGCTTGAACCTTGGACCACCAGATTCATACGTCCAGTCCCCTTAACACTCTGCCACACTTCCTCCACAAATTATACATATGTTAAAGATAGTTTATTATTTTCATCTTTTACTTATTTATAAGAGATTCATATATTTTAAGAGTCAGTGGTGCAATCACTTCATCCTTTTGAGGTATCAATGTTTGAAGCTAATCATTTTAGTCCAGCAAGTAAACCGTATTACGCGTGTAAGGTTGTTATCATAAATGATGTAACTTAAGTTACCATTGTAAATAGTAAGTATAGTATAAACCAAAAATACAAACAAAGCAATGACTTACCCATTTGTAAGCTTATTAAAAATATTTTCTGACGATGCAGATGTTGTTTTAACACTTGAGCTCAAAAGCCTCGATCATATGACTAGCCCTGATCTGATATAGACTTGATCACGCTTATATTGATGCTAATCATTTCTATAAATAGAAAACTCCATCGTTTTAAGAGTCACAAGCTTGCAAAGTCTCCCTCAGGGCCAAACAGGTAGATAATTACCATTCAAGTGACAATATCCGGTTGAGTTGGACGATCAATGACCTAGAAAAGATGTCAGTTGCACATTCAGACCTCTAGATTTGTGTAGTAGCCTGTGGTAAGCTCAAGGTGGTCTAAATATGCAAAATACTATTGCGCGAAAAAAAACGAGAATCAGACAGAGAGAGTGCACCAGATTTTATATCCGACTTCAGATCAAGATAAGCTTTCTTGAAGACCGTCACAAAACAGCTTTGGACGATTTGAAATCTGAGGGGCTAATTTGCTCCGTGTCGATCGCCCTATTGAACACCAGATAGATAGCCCCTCCAACGTGGACACCCATCTGGATGCTGCGCGCCAGATGGCGCCCAAATCCACTTACCTATTCCCAAGTCATCACAGTCACTCGTTTGGCTGCCGTATGTAACACTCTTGAATCTCACCATGGATGAACTGCCGTTTCTCTTCGGTTTCTATGTAGAACAAGTCATCTCCCATACTTTGGCGTGTTTTCTAGCTGTCCCTTCATTTCTTTCCAGATTCCGAAATTGTGTAGAGGAAATTTTTAAAGTATGGTTTTTCGATTTCTATTTACGAAATCAATCTAAAAAAAAGTAGCAAAAACTATTTCACTGATATCCACAAGGTTATACAATATACTTGCGAAATTTATTGTTTTTATAGCTCTATTGTTGTAATATAAGTTAGCTACAGCCCCTTTTCGATGAAAATTGAATTCATAAAGTATGACTAGAATCTTTGAGAGGATCTTCACTAAATCCAGACTTCTTTTGTTGGACATTTGCAGAAACGTTTTCACCCAAAACATACGATTACACTGTAACCCAAAGTTCGAGCCTTACGGGAAGTTCTGTCCTTTTATGCGCTTAAGAGGCCCTATAAATATCACGCACAAATTTCGCACTTAACGAATGCACTAAGGTCACGTATTTTTAGCTTGGGGTGGAAAGCATTGTGGTTTCCTAGTGTAGATTTTTATTGCCGAGGTCAGTTTGATATAAAAAAAGAACCAATCTCATTGCTGTTCGTCGATACATCAATCTAACTCACAGGCGTACGAGGATCACTAAAGGAGGACGGAAATTGGCAAA